TTTTTTTTTTTTTTTGAGACAGGGTTTCTCTATGTAGTTCAGGCTGGCCTCGAACTCTCAGAGATCCTCCTGCCTCAACTTCTGAGGGCTTGCATTACAGCTGTGCGCCACCACACCACCACCACACCTGGCCTGAGTACTTTACTCTTAGACATCACATTTTAGTCAGCCAGGGTCGCTGCTGTGAAATGTTTAGTTTACAGTCCTTCCCTTAACCTTGATAGGTCGTGTATTTCAACCAAACTGAGACCTTGTGTGTACTGTTTGGAAACTGCCCTTTTAAAAAAAAGTTAGATATATTAGTACATTGTAGATATACATAGTGATCACACAACTCATAAGAACCCTACCCTGCCTGTGATACATCTTTGATTCTTTTTTCCTCAGTCCCCTCCCTTCAACCTCCCTTTTCCGCCTTATTAACAAAAGCTTTTGTTTCCATTTTTTCCCCCATCATTCCTTCTCCCTCTCCTTTCCCCTTTCTATTTGAACACTTTTTCATGTTTCCCAATGTCTTTTATACATTTCAGTCCTCATTTACACTTTTAAGTTTTTCACACCAGAGTGACAATGTGATATTTATTTATTTTTGCTGTACTGGGGATTGAACTCTGGGTTTTGTGCTTGCCAGGCAAGTGCTTATTCTGCTGAGCTATCTCCCTGCTTCCACAATGTGATATTGAAATGCTACAAAGTCTTAGGTGTATCCTTCTGGACAGCACAGTAGTACTCCATTGTATACACAAGCTGCACCTCCTCTATCCATTCACTGCTTGATGGGCATTTGGGCTGAAGAAATTGCTCTTTTTTGTAGCTAGTTATTTCCAGCATTTCCATTTTGGCGACAGTGTCATCATTAAAGTACTTTTCAAATAATCCTCCACAGTACTGCCACTACGTTGCTGGGCTGGTGGGAATTGGCCTTTCTAAGCTCTTCTCAGCCTCGGAGTTTGAAGACCCTGTGGTTGGCGAAGACACAGAGCTGGCCAACTCCTTAGGCCTGTTTCTGCAGAAAACAAACATCATTAGAGATTATCTGGAAGACCAGAAAGAAGGAAGAGAGTTTTGGCCTCAAGAGGTAACAGATTCGGGGTACTGAGGGGAAAGTAATTTAGATTGAAAACAGATAATGGGGTTGTATCCAGCGGCGCACAGAGAACGGGCGGGGGCGGCTAGTTGTCCTTGCTCAGCCCTGCAGTCAGCTGTGGCCTCTACCTGCTCAGGGACAGACCCACTCCGGCAGCAGATGGAGCACATGCACCAGTTGTGACTGCGGTTCTGGGATGGAGCTTGGCTCTTTGGCTTCTCACTGAATCTCTTCCCAACCTCTGCCCTGGGCTGGGTCTGCCCAGGGCCGATGTGATGGGGTCCCCAAGAAGAATTCTGTTGCTGGGGAGGACTGGGGTGCCACCCACCGTGCAGTGCTGGCCCTGGTCTCCATCCTCAGCAGCGCACACAGAAGTGGGGAGGAATAACGTGAGGCCTGAGGCGACAGGAGTGGAGAGAGCCCCTAGAGGAGACCAGCAGGGGAGGCTTTGTCTCTGATTTTCAAATGGGACCTTAACTATGTCAGGCCAGCTTTGAACCCATGGCAGTCCTCCTGCCTCAGCCTCCCAAGTGCTGCAGTGTTAATCATTTTGAGGCCTTAGCCATTTTGAGAATGCTGGTTTCCCTTTGAGTTGCATTTTCGTAAGGTCTCCTCACATCCAGAGAGCTCTTTATCTGGGGTCTTTATTGAAGGCCCTATGGAATGTGTGCTGTGCTCCGGGCCGGCAAGGGCCGCCTCCCCAGTGAGCCTTGATGGGCGCTCAGAGTGGCTCCTGCCTGGAGCTTGGAGGAAGTCAGTCCACTCTGCAGCAAGAGGCTCAGTTGACAAAGGTCCTGTTGGTGATGCAGGAGAGCAAATCCAAGGGCTCACTTATGTGCTGTTCCACACTGCCATGGAGCTACGTGTCCCCAGAAAGATGACACACTTCATCTGTGAATTTTCAGTGTGTGTGACTGTCCTTCTACCTTCCTCTCTGGCCAGGTCTGGGGCAGGTACGTGAGGAAGCTGGCGGACTTTGCTAAGCCCGAGAACATTGACGTGGCCGTGCAGTGCCTCAATGAGCTCATCACCAACACGCTGCACCACATCCCTGACATCATCACCTACCTGTCCCGGCTCCGGAACCAGAGCGTGTTCAACTTCTGTGCGATTCCACAGGTATGGGCCAGACTGGGCTCCTCGGGCTCAGAGGAGGCCAAGGGAGTGGACTGAGGCGGGTGGTCCTTGTTTGCTTGCTGTCCTGAGAAGCATGGTTCCCTAACACGGTGACCCACGGTGTTTCTTTGCTGGGTGTGGGCAGTGATTTCCCAGCTCCGCCTTTGCCTCCCAGCCCTACTCAACTTGGGTTAAGTCTGCCTTTTTCCAGAACCTTCCTCCTAGATCCATTCTTCTCCCTCTCACTAGTGTTCTGTTTTTGTATTTTAGGGAAGGGTCTACACTATGAAGATAGGACTTGTAGTGATCTGCCTGTTTACAGCCTCCTAAGAGCTGGGATTACAGGCGCATGCCATGGCGGGATTGGCACGGCAGGCCAGGGGATTTAACCCCCAGCCCCTGTGCTTGCTTGCAGACGCTTTAATCTACTGAGCTATTTGGCCGGCCCCCATAGTGTCCTAAACCAGCCAGATCCATATGCTCACAATGAAGGCAAGGAGCTGAGCCTAGATTTATGTTGAGTGCTGGGCAAAGCTTGCTTGACGCTCTTATGGCTGGCCATCCATCCGTCCATCCGTCCATCCGTCCACCTGTCCACCTACCCACCTACCCACCTTCCCACCCTCCCACCCTCCCACTCTCTCACTCTCTCAGTCTGTCAGTGTTAGGGAAAGCAGTCCTGGCCTTGTGCTCACTAGGGAAGTGCTGTCCCTGTTCACATTTAAATGTCTTCATTAGATACGTAATTCTTCCTGTCCTTTTCTTGTACAGTAAAACCTGATCCTGTAGTCCTGGCCCTCAGTGCTGTATGAGGTCGCCCCATTTATTGCCATTATCACTTCTCCAGTTAGCAGCTCAGATAGGTGCAGAAAGCCATTGGCCTAACTGACTGGCAACTTGGTTTCCACCTTGTAATAGATATTTCAAATCTAATAGTCCACTGCTCTTTCATTTTTAAAAATAAGATGAAGCTTTTATGGCTAAACAACAGAACAGTGTAACACTGCAAAGAGCCTTCCTTGATTCTGTGGGTCCCTGGGAAAGGGAGGGAAGGGAAGGCTAGAATCTTGACACGCTCATCGTGGGTGCAGGCCTTTTTGTAAGTTAGGTCTCAGCTCCTGGGCAATTGTGCTTTCTGTGGAGACTTTCCTGGCTCTGCAGGAAAACGATTCCTCTCGGCACCATTCATGACCCTTTGCTTTCTCTTGTGACCTGCAATGAGTTGCTCCCCCCCCCCCACTTGTGTCCTCTAGGTCATGGCCATTGCCACCCTGGCCGCCTGCTACAACAATCAGCAGGTGTTCCGAGGGGTGGTGAAGATCCGCAAGGGCCAGGCTGTCACGCTGATGATGGATGCCAACAACATGCCAGCTGTCAAAGCCATCATATGTCAGTACATGGAGGAGGTGGGTTTCTCTTGCGCTCCCTTGGGCCGTTCTGGCTGTTTGTGTGATTGAAATGATGCGACTGCCTGTCATACCATGCTTGGACATCAGGGCATCCTAATAGTTCACTGTGCTGTGGCCTAGGGAGTAAGGAACCAGGAGGTGGTGTCCTTCATTAGAGGACAGTTGTGCGCCACACCACGAGCTGCTGGGCTGCCCTGCCAGAGGGTGAATGAAGCTTGCCTAGGGTGGAGCCTCTCTGGAGACCTTTGTTTATACTGGGGGTGGAACCAAGGCCTCAAGCACCCTGGGCGAGCACGCTCCACCTGGCTGCCTGCCTGCCTGCCCGCCAAGACCTGTCCAGGACGACTGTGCTTAGGGCTGGGGGCTTGCTGCTCGGTGCAGCCCCGCCATGCTTTGCCAAGCGTGCCCGCGCTTCAGGCCTCACGTTCCATCATCTGACCTCTCACTCTCAGGTGTCCACAGAGAAACCACTGTGAGCTTTAGGCAAAGGAAGACCCCAGATTACAGTCGCTTCTTTTGCAAATCCCATTTCAAATGCTAGCGTCACTGAATGTACTGGCCGAAGTCATGGTCAGCCCCCTCCCCAGGGTCTCATACAAGCCCAGGTTTCATGTTTCTTCAGGAGACTGGACTCCCGCTAGCCTGGAGGGGCAGGAGCAGTGGCCCTCAGTGGATGTGACTTGTCCCCCTCTGAGGACCCCAGTGGATGCTGCTGAGGTCCTTGGTCTCCTTGCTCCTTACCCTGTGCCCCTCTGATTAACTGTTGTCAGGGTTTGTGATTCCCCCCACTTCCCTGTGTACTCGCAGGGGTTGGTGTGTCCAGCATTTTCATTGGAACATAATTCTGCAGAACCCAGACTTCCTCTGATTTCTGTCTGATGTAGCACATCCTCATATTTCCTCCTTGCTTTTTACCTGACAAGTTTTGGACACCAGCATTTCTACCTATAGAGGGTTGCAGAGAAAACCAAATCTTAAAAATCAACAAAAACTGGGTGTGGTACAATCCCAGCACTCAGGAGGCTGAGGCAGGAGGATCACTATGAATTTGAGGCCAGCCTGAACTACAAAGTGAGTTCAAGGACAGCCTGGACTATGTGGTGAGATCCTTTCTCCAAAAAACCCCTCACAAAACCCTGCTACAATTCCTGTAGTAACCACAGAAGGTGAAATTATTCAGCCATTCATCGACCCAAGCATTACTGTCAGTGACCTTGGCTGTCCAATTAGCTGCCACGTTCTGCAAGCTTTCCGTGTGCCTGGTGTGGCAACAAGCCTGGGTAGTTGCCAGGGAAGCCGAGGTCTCCAGCGTGAGGCTACAGCCGTAATTTAGACACGTCTCTTACACGTAGAGCTGTGCTGCTAACTCCAGGCCCAGGGGCTCATTGGCCCTTTCACTCAGTGTCCTGCCACTGTAGGCGCCTTGTTTTCATTGTATATAAACCAGAGCCACATTACACACCGTATAGTTTAGAATTGTTTTGGTTTTGCATTTCTGTTCTGATCACTGATTTTAGAAAGCCCATTTCTTAGCTGGGCGTGGTGCTGCATGCCAGTAATCCTAACACTCAGGAGGCTGAGGCAGGAGGATTGGCATGGTTTCAAAGCAGCCTTAACTATATAACAGAATCTTGTCTCAAAAAAAGTGTTTTTTAATCTTCATGGGTAAGTCTGCTTAGTATAAATTAAATCCTATGTTACTTATAATTTGCTCATAGGCAAAGATAGGCAAACTCCAGCTGCCTGACTTCCTGTTTTTGTAAATATATTTTTTATTGAAATTCAGTCACAGCATTTGTTTATCCTCTGTGCTTTTGCAGTTTAAGGGCAAAGTTGAGCTGCCATGCAGAGGGTGGCCCCAGAAGCTAAAAATATTTTTAGCCATTTAAGAGAAAGTTTACAGGTCCCTGCTCTGGGGCCTCAGTCATCTCAGCAATGTAGCAGTGCATACCTATTCCTGTAGCTGCTTGGGAGGATGAGACAGGAGGGTTGTGAGTTTAAGGCCAGCCTGCGTAACTAGATTATTTCACTAAACTAAAAATGACAGGGGCTATAGCTTAAAAAATAAGGAAAATTGCTCTAGTCAAACTCAAGGTCTTGGGCTGGTGAGATGGCTCAGTGGTCTAAAGCACCAACTTAGAACGAGCTTAGCAAACCGCAGTTCAATCCCCCAGCACCACATGCCTGCCAGCCCCACCCCCTGGGGGGCTGAGCTGCCCCCCCAATAAATAAATAAAATTAAAAAAAAAACAACTCAAGGTCTTTTCAAGAAAATATTAATCCTTAAGTGATTTGGTACACAAAGGTTTCTGAAGATTAACAAGTCTCAAGCTATAGAATCTGATAATGGCTTCAGTGCCAGAGCAAGGACACCCTGCAAGCGGGCAGTTATGGAAGGCTTGTGCAGTGGGTGCACAGGCAGCGAAGGGCGGCTCTGACCTGTTCTCTCCCCGCTGACAGTTGGCCCTGGTTGAAGGGAGCCAGGTGTGTCCTCCTGCGGGGTCTCCGGCTTTGCCGGCTGCAGCAAGCACAGGTGGAAGCGACTTCCAGGGGACCTCGTGCACCCAAGCCCGCATGGGGAGGACGACACACACTACACACTGTCAGAGCATCAGCTGGCCTGTTTCCCTGCCAGGATGCTTGGCCCTCAGGTCCTTGGGTACCAGCAGCATCTTGTCTGTCACACCCGTGGTCACTCAGCGCCAGCAGGCTCGGAGCCTTCTTTGCCTGTACAGATTGGCACCTGGGCAGGCAGGGCTCTTAGAGGGCTCTGCTTGGAAGTGGTCTGGTGATACAATTATGAGCAGATGTTTGCCTGTTGCTGTTTAGAATTGCTTTTACTCACTGTCATTCGACATGGTGGCTCTTTTCTCAGAGCCCTTTCCTGTGGCATCTGTGACACTTTCCTGTTGGCCTCTGGCCTATGCATGGCCCTATTTATTTAGTGTGTGTGTGTGTGTGTGTGTGTGTGTGTGTGTGGCCAGCCCAGCTCAGCCCACCAGGAGGCGGGGCTGGGGGCTGGCTGGCATGTGGTGCTGGGGGATTGAACCGTGGTCCCTGTGCTTTGCTGAGCTTGTTCTAAGTAGGTGCTTTAGACCACTGAGCCATCTCACCAGCCCCAGCCCAGGGACTTTCTGACTGGCCTTGTTTCCTGGATCGCTGCGTGGCCTCAAGGTCTGGCTTGAGCTTTAGGCTTTCTCGCTGCACAGCTGCTCTGCCATGGCTTCTTCCTCCACTGCATGTTCAGCAGTTACCCAGCTCAGAGCTGGGCATTAGAGGCACTGCCCAGAGGACAAACCTGGCACACAGGCCTCTGGAGGACGCACCGTCCAACTTCAACACTTAGCAGTGTGTGTTAGGAAAAGAACGGCAAGACTGTCCATTGTGTAATAAAGCTTTGGGACAGAAACTTCACTTTAAAAATGCCCGCTCTGCAGCTGGATGAGATGGCACACGCCTATAATCCTAGCTGCTGAAGCTGAGGCAGGAGGATCTTGAGTTTGAGACCAGCCTAAGATTGTGAGAGACACTGTCTGCTTGTTAGCCCACCTTGTACCCCAGACCCAGCTCAGGTTCCGCCCCACTGTACCCACGTAGCCGACTGTTGGGTGGAGCCAGTGTTCCCAGAGACTTGCTGTGTGCTGGGTGCAGTCCAGGCTGGAGATGAGCGGGTGAGGCAGAGGGTGCAGCCGATGGAGGCCTTCTGCTGGTGGCATGGGTCGCCACTGGCCCTAGTCCAGCGTTGGCTGAGCTGGGTGAAGCCTCCCAGATAACTGGAGTAGGCAGGGCAGGCAGCAGTGCAGTGGCCCGGCGGGGGTGGTCTAGCCAAGGCATGTCACACCCCACAGGGAGGATGCTCGGTGAGGAGGCCACATGGGTCTTCAGGTGGTATGATCTCTGTGGTGACCTTGAGAACAGGCGTGGCAGTGTGGGGCTCACGCAGAGAGGCTAAAGTGCCCCAGGAAGGGCTCCGGGGTCCCTGCGGGTCCATGTTTATCTTGCTGCCACCATGCACTGGCCTGGTTTTCTGGGACTGTTCCCTTTCTCTGAGTCATACTGGTCGGCCTGACAGAATCACACTGGCTGCCCTCTCATAGTTTCTAAAGATCTCAGCCCGCAGAGCTCTCATTGGGCTTAAAATAGGAAGGCAGAAAGCAAGGGAGGCCGGTGCCCACCCTTCCATGAAAGGTTCTCCTGTCTCTTGGGAACTTGAGCTGTGGACAGACGCAGGTCGGTGTTGTGTGCTCTGAGCCCTGCTGCAGCCCAGCCCAGGGGCCTGCGGGCCAGTGTGGCAGCGGGTAGGCCTGGCTTGACATCCCTGCTCATCCAGGGAGCGACTGGGGCGGCTCACTTGCACTGGCTCCAAGCCTGTTTGCTTCTGGTGAGCCAGGTGTGAGCTGGTGTGCCACCTGTCGCGGAGCGTGACCACGGTGCTCACCTCTGTGCTCTCGTTGACAGATTTACCATCGGATCCCCAGCTCAGACCCGTCCTCCGAGAAGACGAGGCAGATCATCTCCACGATCAGGACACAGAACCTGCCCAGCTGCCAGCTGGTGGCCCGGAGCCACTACTCACCCATCTACCTGTCCTTCGTCATGCTCGTGGCCGCACTGAGCTGGCAGTACCTGAGCGCCCTGACCCAGGTCACAGAGGAGTACGTGCAGACCGGGGAGCACTGAGCGGCCCAGCCGAGGTTTCCGGCACCTGCAGACTTTTATCTGAGGATGGGACTGGCCTTTTTCCTTCCTATTTTAATCTCCCCAAGAACTCAGTGCGCTTGGATCTTCAAACTGTGAAATGCATTTGCAAAGAACGTGGGAATCAAAGCAGAGGACGCTTGCCCTTGTGCTGCCACCTGGTCTGCTCCATTCTCCTCACGTGGGTGGTGGGGCTGCATGTAGGACGTGCGCATGGGCAGTGGTCTTGTCCTGCGCGAGTCCTGGCTGGAATGATAATTAAATGTATTTAATTTGAAGCAGCTTTGAATATCATAATGAAAAAGGAAGTACATTTTCCTTCTGTCCCATTGTTTGCTCTTTCACTGGTTTGAATGTGGCAGATAGGAATGTTGGTGGCTCTAGGTTCCATTCATGAGTTTTCTGAGACTCCCACTGGTCCTTGGTGCATGGACGAGGGCAGTGAAGTCGGGGTGTTCTGGTGTCATGTTGTCATTTGGGGTAGCATGGCTTTTAGAGGCAGCAGCCCTGCCTCTGGCCCACCTTCGGAAGTGGCACAAACCAGCAAAGCCTTTTTATTCCCAGATACTGAGGATTTTTCCTCATACCCAGGGCGGTTTACCTGGAAGCCCACTTGGCCATGGGGCAGGTGGAGTTAGCGGTAGAGGGGTGGCTGCTGCCCTGTGTGACCGCCAGTGTCACTGTACTGCTTCAACCACTCTCCCTCTGCCATCTCTACTTTGGACAAATTCCCCCCCCCCTTTTTTTTTTTTGTTCAGAGTTTTTCAGAACTCGCTATGCAGTTCAGGTTGGCTTTCAGCTCACTTTGTAGTCCCAGCTGGTCTTGAACTCAAAACTATCGTACTGCTTTGCCGCCCCGCCCCCCACCCCCCACTGGGATTACAGGTGTGCACCACTGTGCCCAGGTAGGCAAGTTCTTCCGGCTGGACTCAGAAATCTTACAAGATTTTATTTTTTCCTAGCTTTTTTAACACTGAAATCAATAAAAGCAAAAGGTGTTCTCAGGGGTGGGCTGGAAAGCTAAGGCACTTGCCTGGTTCCCATGATGGCGGCTGAGCTTTGCTTGCTTCTGTGCAGCCATGCTTGTACTCTGTGACATTGGCTCCGGGCCTCTGCTCGGTGGGAGGTCGGGGCCAGCACAGCCCTGCTGGGGCAGGGGTGTCTGAGAATCCCCTGGGTTGGGAATCAATGCTGAGGGAAATTCAGCTCTAGAACCTGTTAACCTGTAGGTGTGTTTGTCTGCTGCATCACTGGAAACGCCTGAGACTTCACATGAGAGGTTAACTTAGTGCCCACTTTTGGAGGGTGGAAGTCGGATGTCAGGGGACCCCACTAATTTGCCTCACAGAGGAGCACACAGTAGAGGAAACGGGGACTTGGGTGCTGGGTTTACTCGTTGTCATTCTGGAGGGCAGGGCTTATCCCTCTGAGCCTCTGCCTAGCGAGTCACCTCCAAGCCAGCCTGGGGCCCGGCAGACACCTAACCTTGGGTCTTTACATGGCCACACCACTGCAAGGCACATAGTCGACACCTGCTCCCAGTGTGCTGTGTGGAGACTGCAGCACTCATGCTGGTTTTGCAGATATGTAAATTTGGGGCTTATTTACTGTGACTGTGGGGATGACTGGCTTAATTGGGTCACCTGAGGATCAGCCTTGGTCAGGCTTGTTAGAGCACTCAAGCCAAACTTGCCAGGGAGTACCACCAGGCTCAGGTGTTTTCCTGGGTTTTAAAACATCAAAATTTAATTTGGGATTTCAAAGGAGGCTTATTTCAAAGAAGGGAGGGACACTGATTCCGCCAGAGCTCATGTGAGAAAGGACACATGGTGTCAAGCCTGGTCTTGGGCACACGGAAGCCTTTGACCTGCACTGGGGACTTCGCCCTGTGACTTTGGGCTCTCCTGGGTCCGTTCCAGCTGCAGGATGGTGTGATTCCTAATATCACCAACATGAATGCAGGGCTCGGCCCAGTCCTTGCAGCTGCGCTTCAGAAGTTCCTGTCCTGTCTAAGCATGTGCCAGTCATGCTGCTGTCTGCAGAGCGCTTGGAGGGTCTTCAGACTTGGAGGCATCTGAAGAATGAAAAGCAAGCCCCTGTGGTGCCTGCCTCTGATCCTGGCTACTTGGGGGCTGAGGTAGGACCATAAACTCGAGGCCAGCCTAGGCAACTTAGCAAGATCCTGTCTGAAAAGGAGCAGAGCTGAAGCTCAGGGATGGAGCCTGCAAGAACAAGGAGAAAGGCCTAAGTCTGCATCGGCGCCCCCTCAGAGAACGCCTTTGTGCAGTGAACACTGCGAGGGCACCGGGCTCCCTGGCCACCTCATGCTGGGCAGACACCCGTGGCGACACTGCACTGAACGGTGGAGACAAGAGCGGCCCTGGGGTAACCTGGTGCCTGTGAGGGCCCAGAGACAGAGGCCCATCACACACACAGGCAGGGTGTGGGGCCCCCATTTACCTGAGTGGGCACATGGGGAAGCAGTGGAATTCAGTTTGGGAACAGGTACAGAAAGCGCTCGAGTCTATGAACGTATGAGAAGGAAGTGGCTAGCAATTCATGGCCTTGGTAACCTTGTTAAAATTTTTCTAAAACTGGGTATGGGGTACACACCTATAATCCTAGCACTATGGAAGGTCGAGGCAGGAGGTGACCAATTCAGGCCCAGCCTGGGGAACCTGGTGAGACCCAGACCTGAAGAAAGTAAAAATGGCCGGGGATATGACTCAATGCAAGGGCCCTGGGTTCAATCCTCAGGACCCATGGAAAAAGTGCTGCAAGCACCCCAACTTTTCTGCAACATTCATCTGGTCTTTTTTGCAATGCTCGTTTTGAACAGGTATCCCAGGGCTACCTGTAGCCCTTGCCAGGGTGTTGGTGAAGCTTACTGGGGCCATGCATAGTGGCACATGCCTATCCCAACGCTTGGGAGGCGGAGGCAGAAGTGCCATCAGCTGGACGTCAGCCTGGGCTACACAGCAAGCCCAAGACCAGCCTGGACTACGCAGCAAGATCCTGACCTAAGAGCTTACTGGATGGATGTAACTTCTAGGAACAGCCAGCTCAGGCAGGGAAGAGAGGTAATGGGGACCACGGGCTTGGGGTGATAGAGCTACTGCAGTGTCCTGTTCCAAGAGCTGGTGCAGTAACCCTGGTTCTGCCATGGAGGTGGCATGGGGCCCTCAGCATGCTGGACATAGGCACCCTGGAAACGGGGCTGGGAGGGTGGCAGTCTTGGTGTGTGGGATCTGAACATGGTACCTGGGTCCCATAGCAGGTGCCTCAGACTGAGCGGGGCCGTGCCGTCCTGGGATAGGGCAAGCTTGTGAGCTCGGGCACAGATCCAGGGTAGGTTCAGAGGAGGGCGGAGGAGGAAACGGAGGAGCTGTGCACCACAGCTGGAAAGCGGGATGGCGGGGAGTGGTCAGCCCTAGACTGTGAGGGCCGCTGGGGCCACGGATGCCATCAGAACAGAACGAGCTGGGGGGACACCTTTTATTGGCACAGTTGTTCCTGGTTAAACTGACAGGGTGAAGCACTGATTTCTTTTTTAAACAGTCAAAGCTGCCTTCTCCCAAACTAGTTTCACCATGGTAGTTGAGGTCAGCAGGTCAACAAGCAAATCATGCCCATGGGACTTATTTTAAGCCACACAATTAAGAGATAACCCATGAAACTAGTGCAGCTCCTTCAGCTGTTAAACTTGTTCATTCACATGATCAGCTGAGGGGCACAGAAACTATTAAAAACGATCAGCCAAGACTGACGGAGAGGGCGGGCGACACTTGAGGGCGTGGAAGCAGCAGCCTGGGGGAAGGCAGCTTTCTTCAGAAAAGTCACCACCCTGCTCCATGCGTGAGGACAGGGCTACTTGCTTGGAGGGAACGCTCCGGGGCTTCGCCATCCCTCAGGACCTCCATGCCTGCTGTGAAGCTGCTGTGCCTGTCCTGCTGATGGAGAAGCGGAGCAGAGTAGAGCGGGAGGGGCCTCAGGCAGAGCAGGAACAGCAGGCATGGAGTCCACAGGGGGAGGAGGCTGTCTGTACCGGCGTGGCCATTGTCCCTGGACAGGCAGGGGACCCAAATGGAGGTCTCCTCGGAAAACAGCTGTTTGGGAAGGAGTGAGCAGTGCCAGCCAGTCTTCAGGCCCTGTCTAAAACTGTGTCACACGAATCCCAAGAGTGGAAGACACTTGAGCTGCCTCACCCCAGGCCAGGCAGGCTGTGCAGATCAGAACCTGCCCCAGTACTGATCCGTACGTGGGATTCCGGCCACGATTTCAGATTCGATTCCACAGTGATCCTCTCCCCTGACGATTTTAAAGAAGCCTTAAAGGAAAAGAAAAAGGTGAAAAGAGTCTTGGGTCCTGACTTGCCAGAATGTTCAGCCTCACCAAGGACTCCAGTTGGTCACCACGCCCTGCACAGCAGCACCAGGCCTACAGCATTCCCATCCACCCGGGGCAGGGCCTCAGCATCGTGGGCTCCTCCACCAGCACTACATGCCCTTCCCCATGCTGCCCCCAGCGTCCCGGGAACTATACTACAGCCAAGAGGCTGATCCGCACCCTGGGCTCACCACGTGGCTCTGGGAAACCCTGCTCTTATGCCTGCACTCTGAGGTCATGGCCAACCCTCAGCTAAGGTGGGGGTGGTGCTCTGGCTAATGTCTCCAAATTCTCTGCAGGAAGGGGGCTGCACTCACCATGGTCACCCCAGTCGACGTTCCAGGAATTGCCCACCAGCCAGTAGGGGACGTCATTCTCCTTTCCCCAGCCCAGAATGCGGATGGCGTGGCCCCCCAGCACCTCTCCAGCTACATGCCTGTACACGCCTAAGGGAAAGAAAACAGGCTCAGAGCAGGCCCAGGCTGTCTGCAGGCAGGAAGGCTGGGGCTGCAGCCTGCCTGCCCGCCCGCCCGCCCGCCCGCCCGCCTGCCAGCCAGCCAGAGATCCTGGGTTCTGTCCCTTGCACTGCACTGCAGAGATAAAAAGACTGTCAGTGCCGCATCCAAACAAAGGCATCAGGGTTCCCGTTACGGAGGGACGATGTACACATGTGCACATGCACTGTGCAGACTGAACCAGGGCCTGGCATGTGCTCAGCCCCAACTCTCAAGATTTATTTCTATACAAAAATGGAGCTCCACAAAACACTGTTGGCTAGCTTTAAGAATAAAGGCCTAGGGCTGGGATATGTGCCCTCACTTCCAGCCCCAGAACAGAGAAAGGCACAGAGAACTGTCAGCTCTGTGGAACAGGGATGGGGATCGTTTCCATTGTCTAGAGCACGGTTCTCCTTGCTCATTCATCACCTAGGTGGCAGGCGTGACCCTAGGGCTCTGCAAACAAAGGCACGGCTGAACGAAATGGGCTGAGGCCCCACCGTCCCAACGCGGATAGGTACACGAGAGAGCTGGAAGACATAGGTCCCACTGAGGAACTCAAGCCAGGCCTAGATAGAGGAGGGCTTCAAACAGAAGCCATGGGACTGGGAATGCAGCATGCAGCACATGGATGCAAGGTGTGGCCTCCCAGCCTCGGGGGCTGCAGCACCCACCTGACTTGTAGGACAGGAAGTCTGAGAACACGGTGAAGGCGCCCTCCACCGGGCCATTTTTGTAGATCTCCGCCATGATCTCCTTCTCACTGCTAGAGACGCTGTAGGAATCATACCCTGGGGAGAGCCCACACAAGGGCGGTGAGGGCACCATGGAGAGAGGTCCTTGGGGACAGCTGGGCATCCCACCCCACTCCCCCAGTGCAGGAGGGGCTTCCCTAGGAAGGACTACAGGGGCCTGGGAGTGCGCAGTGACCTTGAGTGGGGAAGGGGTGCAAGGCCCCAGGAAAGGTCAGGGGACCTCAGGACACTGCTGCTTACAAATGCGGGTTCTGCCTCTGCAGCTCAAAGGGGCTGAAGCTAGATTTGGGGTACAATAGGCAGCTGTGGGAAAGGTGCATTTCCCCTCCCCTCACTTCTGGGGCCCCTGGATTCTGCTTTAAGGCCCTGTGCTGTGTGGCCCGGCCCAGCCCACCATACCATAGTTCTTATCTTCCTTGTAGGACGGGGAGTAGCCGGGCTCACATTTCTTGCTGCACTTGGGGGTGTCACCACCCTCCCCTGTGCACTGGGGCCGGGTGCCATTCACGTGGTGCTCGCAGGGAGGGATGGAGTAGGGTCTGCAGCCTGGAGTAGAGCAGATGGGTCAGTACATCCTGCCCCGAAGCTGCGGCGTCTCCAGCTCTCAACATCCCCTCCCAGGAAGGAAGCTGTGATAGCTCCAGCCTAAGGAACCCACCAGGGAGCCCAGGGCTGCAGACCGTACTCACCCACATGGGACTCATACAGGCCACCAGAGACCAGGCCTTTTTTGGTCCAGTATTCCCAAGCTTGGGAAGGATAGCCACCATTACAGCTGAAAAAGAGCCTTCTGTCAAACTCACCAGGAGGGAGGGCCTGCTCCTCCCAGCCTGGTGCTTCAAGGTCGCTGTGCTCAGCGAGTCACTCGGAGCTGAGGGTCCCCAGTCCCCCATCTGCATCCGCAGGGGCCGGGGCCAGCTCTCATCCCCATCCAGGGGCTCTCTGGAGGATAGCACACGCTCCTACCCTTATCTACGCCAAACTAAGTGTTTTTTTTTTTTTTTTTTGGTGGAAGCAGGGATTGAACTCAGGCCCTTGCATTTGCCAGGGAAGCTCTTATTCCACTGAGCCATCTCCCCAGGCCATTTTTTTTGTTTTCTTTTTCTTTTTTTTTTTTTCCCCCAGCTAGGCTCTATGTGACCTTCCTTCTGCAAAAGCTATTCTCAGCCCACAGCAAGTCAGTCACAATTCCAGGGTACAGCAGCCCCTCTCCTCTTCCCGCTATCAACTATGGTCCAAAAACCATGTGAAAAACTGCAGCCGTAAGTCCAGAGTTTTAAATTTCATACTGTTCTGAATGATGAAATTCTGTGGGATAAGATCTCAAATCCACCTCCTTCCTGCATGGAATGAGGATCTCCCCTTCCTGCAGAGTATCCAGGCTGTATGTACTATCTGCCCGGAATGAACAGTGACTGTTGCTCGCAGATGTGGATCTCCTCTAGGAGAATTTGCTGTGCATATGTCCCAGCAACCCTGACCTACTAATGCCCCAGAGTGAGACAGGAGGATGGGGGTGGCACACTGGCTGACAGGTGGGCATGGTCTGTCAATCACAGCCAGGACACCTGCTCAGAGCAGTTTCCCAGCCCTACACTGGACACTAGCAGAGAACACGCTCTTCAGTTCTTTTGGAACAGGATCAAGCAGGGTTTTGATAGGACAGCCAGGATCTGCTGTCAGAATGCATTATACAAGGGGCAGCCAATGACCCTGTGGCCGTTGGCTCTCCCAGCAGGGCATGTTTTGCCCACATTCGCACTCCAGAGCACCTTTACTATTATTATTATTATTATTATTATTATTATTATTATTATTATTTTAAAGGCAGAGTCTCCCTGTGCGGATCAGGCTAGCTTTAAATTCATTTTGTTGCCGAGGCTGGCCTCAAAGTTATGGCAATCCTGCTGTCTCAGCCTCCAAGTGCTGGTCACAGGCATGGACAACTAAGCTTGGCCTTGCAAAGCACTGCTTTTTTAAAAAATTCAGTACCTTTAATAAATGCCATATCTCCACATTTTGGTTGTTTTGTCCAATTCTAGCCCAACAGCATTAATGCTGACAAATTATAAGTGCCAGAGTGAACCTATACAATACTTCTTTTAAAACATTCTCTAGAAAAACCCCCTCAGTCTACAGAAGTCATGGCCTCATGCACGATAAATGCTCAGTCTAGATGGGAAAATCCCACTGAGCTTTTGTGTATTATCAGAAAAGACACGGTGCATCTCCCGGGCTTGGGGGCGCTTCGGCTTGGGGCCCTCGGGAGGTCTTGGCACGGACACCCTGAGCACGAGAAGGAAAAGCCCCACCCAGTGGCGACTCCACTGCCCAGGCTGGGCCCGCGCTGCTGCGTTCCAACTCTCGGGTGTTCCGACCTGTGGCCAGACCTGGGCACACTGCTCAGACCCAGGGCCAGCTGTCAGCAATGGAGACTTCTGGAGTTAGTTTTTTTGAGACAGGGTCTCACTAGATGGCTCAAGCTGGCCTTAAACTCCAGGTAGCTCAGACTGGCTTTGAATTTGTAGCCATCCTCTTCCGGAGAGCTGGTATTACAGGTGCTTACCAGTACACCCAGCTTGAGTTAAGGATTTAGTTCAGGGTGACCCATGTGGGGCCCCTCTACAGACACAGAAATGGGTGCAAGAACGTATTTCAGCAAGAAGGAAAAGGAATAAATACAAAACCTGACTGGGAAGCCAGCCATGGTGGTGCTTGCCTGTAATCCCAGCCCTAGGGGGTGCTGAGGCAGGAGGGTTGCCCTGAGTTAGGGCCAGCCTGGAGTAACTGCATGAGACCTTGGCTCAACCCCTGCTCCAAAAAGGAAACTCCTGGAACCCCAAATGGAGCTCAGAAACGTACCTGCCTTTTCTGAGTCTGCTTTTTGTCAGGGTGGGCCCTGCCCAGCTCTGCGGGGCCAGCCTGACTCCTAGCTTTCCCAGCAGCAACAGCCACCCCAGGACTCTTTCCCAGACACCCCAAGCTTCCCTCTTCCCTCCCTGGGGAGGCCCGAGACTTACCCCTCCCCACACATGGGGCCACAGCAGCTGAGCAGGTCCTCAGCCGACAGCTCCACATTGACACGGCCATTGGTGTGGATGCAGACGCGGTCTGACATGGCGCCCACGGCCCCGAACGCCTGTGGGGACGAGGCTCACTGATGAAGGCCCCCGAGAGGCAGAAAGCAGCGGGGTGGCTGCCAGGGTGGGGAGGCAGTGAGGGTGGAAGGGGCCCTGCAGGGGCTGGGGGTGCAGCTCAGGGCAGAGCACCCTGTGGCCTGGGCGGGGCCGGGGTTTCTGTGGACCAGTGCAGTGATGGCTGGACACGCCTGCAGCCATGCTTGCTGCCACCAATCTGTGTGTGCACGCTTAAAATACTTAGGACAGCCAGCAATGACAGCTATGCAGGAGGCCGAGGCAAGAGGATGCCAGGTTTGTGGCCAACCTGGGCCACTTCAGGGTCTCTTGCCCAAAAATAATTGTAAAAAATGGGCTGGGGGCGGGGCTGGGGAGATGGCTCAGTGGAATAAGCACTTGCCTGGCAAGTGCAAGAGCCTGAGTTCAATTCCCAGTTCCACAAAAAAAAAAAAAAAAAAAAAGCCAAAACTGGGTTGGGGCTATAGTTCAGTGGTAGAGCCCCATGGGTTTAATCCCCATTCAATCCCCAGTGCCATTAGAAAGAAAAAAAAAGGGAGGAGGGGAAGAAAAAGATTAAGCTGGTTGTTATTACCTGTACTGTATACCTCAGCACAACTCAAACACAAAAATTAAGACTTTGGCAGCGCAGCAGTGTCACTAATGGAATGGCCTCACAGCCCGAGCCTGCTGGCCCTGTGGTCTGTGGACGTGCCGAGCATCCCCCACTGCCCTAATCCCTGCGCTGCCTCCTGGCCGCAGGGACCATCCTCGCACCTCCTGTACATGCTCCCTGCTGTGCTGCCCATCGGGGAGTAGCATCTCACCCAGCAGGAGCCGCAGGAGCCCTGGTCTCTGATCTCCTTGATAGTCGGACAGTTGGGCCACTGTTCCCGGGCATCGAAGCTCTCAGGCAGATTCATGTCCTCAGCGAACCGAACCCTGGAGAAAGCAAGGTCTCCCTGCAGCTCTGCCCTCAGCTCAGCTGGGCCCTCAAGGGTTGCTGGCTAGGAGCAGCTGCCCACACCTTGTGTCCAGGAGGAACCAATGCCAGAGCGTTAAGGAGGGACTCAAAGCTCCTTACTGGCTTCCTTTTGGACTTACTGTGTGTGCCAGGTCTGATGGCCTCCTGTCGTCCCTGCCCCACTGCCCAGCGGCCTCAGTAGCTTCCTAGACAATCTTTTTCTTGTTTTCCTTTTTGTATTTTAGGGAAGGATCTACAGGGTGGGTGTTCAGGGTCTCACTAGTAGATCAGACTCCTAGTGATCTGCCTGTTTACAGCCTCCCAAAAGCTGGGATTATAGGTGCACACCACCACACCCAGTCTCTACTGCCTTCTCAGCATGCCCCAGGACTGGCAGAGCAGGCCTGGGGATCAAACCCCAGGCCCTGCACCTGCTTGCAGGAGCTTTAAGCCGCTAAGCTATTTGGCCGGCCCTAGACAGGCTTTTTAGCATTTCCTTTATGCTTCTTAATTTTCATCTTACTGGAGAGGTCAACTGAACAAGCTGGTGCTGGGTCAGAAGGGGAAATGGATTCATTCTATCGTCCTGGCAGCTCCCGGGGCTTTTGTGAGTGCCTTGTGTGCCATACTGGGGCCTCATTCCAGCTCTGACGCCCCACAACCTGGGGGAAGTAGTGCACGCTTAAAATGCTTAGCATTTTAAATGAAAACTCTGGCACAAGGCAGCTCTGTGTGCCTGAGGTGGTCCCATTAGCTCCGGGAGACTGGACTGTCCTTCCCTGTCCTGTTGTCCGCGGGAGCCCCTGCTCCACATGGGATAGTGCAGGGCCTGGCACAGGCACTCACCTCTCTGGCAGCCTGGGCCCACCCTGGTAGGTGCCGCACAGCCTCTTCACGTAGCTCATGTCCACATTGTAGAAGTTGCGTCCAGCCTGGAACAGAGCCACACCCATCACAGTCACCCACTGACCAGGCCTTCTCCAGCTGTTGTGGGCAAGCTCCCTGTCCTATACAGGGCCCACCTGGGGAGGCCAGGGGTCCCCCCAGCTCAGACACACAGGTCTGCCTGCCTGTGTTTGTGCTGAGAAGAGGAACCCGCCCCCAGTTGCAGACATGGCTCCTTCCTCACCTTTCAGTTCCTGCCGTGCCAGGCTTGGAGCTGAGCAAAAGCCGGGACTCACAGATATCACATGCTCCCACCTCCCCTAGAGGCTTCCCAGGATCCACCTGGTCCCTGGACACAGACACTTCCAAGCCGGCTTCCCCCTCCACAACTGCACGCGCATGTGCACACACACAGGTGAAAGAGGGAGGAAGTGGTATGGCCCGAGCGCCATCCTCCAGGACAGCCCAGGTCCTTTGGGAGCTGGGAGCAAGGCTGAGAGAAGACACACACATTACTCACCTGCCACGTTGTGTTCAGCTTGTTGACGTAGTTGACCAGTTCATCCGATAGTGGGTGGAACCAAGGAGCGTTATAGGCGCTGCTCAGCGCCAGGAGCAAGCAGAGAGGTGCCGAGGACCGCCACATTGTGAAGCTGGACGAGGACCCACCTGCCAAGGCCAGACAGGGGTCAGGAGGGCTCTTCCTCCACATGCTCAAAGTGCAGGCAGACCAAGGCCTCTGCTGTGTTTTTCCAGACAGGTTTTTGTTTTTTTTTTAAAAATGTATTTAGGGCCAGCCAAACAGATCAGGGGATTAAAGTGCCCACAAGCAGGCGCAGGGGCCAGGGGGTGGGGGTTTGATCCCCAGGACTACTGTGCCAGCTCCACCCCTGGGGCACACTAAGAAGGCAATAGAGACTGGGTGTGGTGGTGCGCATCTGTAATCCCAGCACTTGTGAGGCTGTAAACAGGTGGATTACTAAGAGTCTGATCTAGTAGTGAGACCCTGAACAACCTGTTGACCTTTCTGTAAATTATAAAAAAAAAAAAAAATAGTATTTAGTGCAGGGTCTACAGGGTCTCACTACACAGATCAGACTTGTAGTGATCCTCCTGTTTTCAGCCTCCCAAGCACTGAGATTACAGGTGCACATCACCACACCCAGTCTCAATTGCCATCTCAGCGCTACCCAGGGGCAGGGATCGAACTCTGGTCCCTGCACCTGCAGGCCCCTTTCCAGTCTTGCCATATATTCGAGTTGGTCCAAGCTTGACCTCACTGTATAGCTCAGGCTGGCCTCAAACTCTCAGAAGTCCTCCTGCTTCACTCAGCCTTCTTTGTGCTGGGATTTCAGGTGTGCACCACCATGCCTGGGGCAGTGGATATTTAAAAGCTTGCGTTGATAAAACTGGGCATGATGGCGCACCCCTGTAATCCCAGCTCTTGGGAGGCTGAACAAAGGCGGATCAATAGTCAGATCTGTGAGTCCAGATCTATGTGGCAAAACCCTGTAGTAAAACACAAAAAATAAATAAAGTAAAAGCTTATGCTGATAATGGACCATCACATTCCAGGGGTGGGGGAGTAAGTGTGTCTACCCTGAGCCAGCTTCCTTCCCGAGTGTGACGCTAAGGGATGAGCCCTTTACTTCGCAGTCACTGTTTTCTCATCACCTGGGAGTCCCTCCAAGCCTGACGCTGCAGCCAGGGCACAGACAGCCCGGGACTGCTCCATTACTGAGTGAGTCATGGCCCTCTCCACTATTTTTAAGCTGCAAAGACTTGAACAGAGTGGGAGACTGCTCCTGAATTAGTACTGAGAGCAAAGCCAGCTGAGGGGCAGTGTCCTAAGAGGAGCAGGAGGCACGAAAAATCCGGGAAGCAAAGACTGTCCTCAGCAGCACCCAGTATGCAGGATGTAGTCCCAGCACTTAGGAGGCCGAGTCAGGATCACTACCAGTTGCAGGCCAGCCTGGGCTACCCAGTGAGACCCTCTTTCAGAGAAACAAAACCAGGGCCCGTGAGATAGCTCAGCAGACTAAGCACCTGCTTAGGCAAGCACAGAGACTGGGTTTGATCCCCATTACTGCATGCCACACCTGCTCCCAGGTGTGTGAGCTGCCACCAGCTCCACCTGTGGTGGCGCACACCTGTAATCCCAGCACTGGGGAGGCTGAAAACAGGAGGATCACTACAAGTCTGAGCTGTGTAGTGAGACCCAAAAAACAAAAAGCTAAAACCAAAGGCCCACCAGCCCCTTGCCCATCACGACCGTGCGGGGCGTGTGCAGCAGCCTGGGCAACAGGCAGGTCTGGTCAGCTCCTGAGCGCCTCCAGTTTTTCCAGTCTGCCCAGGGCTCTGCTCCCCCCCATCCCCCAGAGGAAACCCTCATGTCAGTTCTGCCTGGTGACCTGGGATGCAAAAGTCACGAGACTGGTGATTCTGGCACAACCATGAGTCACCGTCTTGGGCAAGCAGCTAACAAGAACAAGGGCTTCCTTGGTGCCTGCGTGCAGGGGCCACAGGCAGTCTCCGGCTGGAAGTGGGAACAGGATTAACTCTGACAGGAGAAAAGCTGAAGCACTGATCCACCTGGAGGAGCTGGTGTGTGAGGGTGGACTGCTCTGGCGTGCATGCAGAGGGCCTCTGTCTGGGGCTGCGTTTTTTTGTGGTACCAGGGATTGACCTCAGGACTTGCACTTGCCAGGCAGGCACTTATTCTACTGAGCCATTTCCCCAGCCCCCTGGGGCTGCACTGTAAAACACCAGTGGAAGCGGGGTGTGGAGGCACACGCCTGTAATCCGAGTACCAGGCTGAGGTGGGAGAGCATGCGAGTAAAAGCCCAGTCTGGGCAACTTAGCAAGACCCTGTCTCAAAAACAGGCAGGGGAGAGGGGCTTGGCTCAGGGCAGGGCCTGTACTCCATCACCAGTACTGAACAAGACCGATGAAACAAAAATGGCTAGGGACGTGGAGCCGCTTTCCATGGTACGAGCCCCAGCAGCCACCAGTCTTCTCAGCTGGGGTGTGGCTCCACGGGACAGGCGGGACACATACTTAGGATCAGGCTGTAGGTTCCATGCAAGCAGAGATAAGCAAACAGACTAGAAGAGGTGTAACAAAAATAGATTCAGTGACTGCAGAAAAACTACAAATAGATGTAAAGCTGCTTGAATTAGGCTGGGTTTGGAGGAATGTCTGTAATCCAAGCACTCTGGAGAGTGAGATGAGATGAGATGAGATGAGATGAGATGAGATGAGACGAGATATGAGAGAGACAGAGACAGAGACAGAGACAGAGACAGAGAGAGAGAGAGAGAGAGAGAGAGAGAGAGAGAGAAATTTCAGCCCCAGGAAGGTGCAGACACAATCAAGGAGATAGGCACTGTGCGTCTCTGCAGGGTTAGGGTGCAGGAAAGAGACCCAGTGGGAGGCAGTGGTGATGCCTAGCGACCATGGAACTGCACGGACCCACTGGGGAACCTGATCATTTAGAAGTTTATTCGGCAGCAGTGCCAGCCCCGAAATGCACACACACAGGTACACGAGGCTAAGTATTCTTCACCCTGGTCTAAACTTCGGAACGAAGGAAATGCCAGCGCCAGCGCCCAAGTCCCCCCGCCCGAGGATGGGGTGGTGGGAGGGTTGAGCCTGCAATGTCAGGTGTGTGTGGCGGGCAGCTCTGCCGCCGTGAGTAGATGGCAAGAAGATCACAAGCGTGGCAGCTGCTTGGGGACCTGTTCTTCCTCTCCACTGCTGCTGTAGTGCAGAGGCATCCTGAGTGCATCTGCAAAGGCTCAAGGGTGGGGAGCCTGACCCTCTGCATGGGACACTAAGGACCTGCCTCAAGGGGCAGAGATCTCTGTGGCCCTCATTTGCCCTGAAGCTCTGTCATCTCTCCCTGTCACATGCATGGCCACCAGGATGCCACCACTACGGTGTGGCTCAGCCTAGGAGGCCCTCACCAGCAGGGTTCCATTTAGGGAGCCTCCTAATCTTGGGCTTCTTGCCTCAAAACTATGAGCTAAATAAACAAATCTGTTTTCTTTATAAGGTCAGCAGTTTTGTTCTAGCAATAGAACCCTACCTCCCTCTTAATACATAGTCTGGTATTTCCAACATTTGTTTCTGTTTGGGAGAAGAACAGCAGTACCATCAAAGAGCCTGAACCCCCAGACTGATAAAAGACCAATGCATTCCACCCCCTCCCTGCCAAAAGGAAGGCTACACTGTCTGCTGACACAGAGCCCCACTTCCCCTGACCCAGGAAGACTGCACCTCACGTGACCATGTATCAGCCACCCACGGGGCCTCCAGGCTCCTCAGGCGAGTGTGCTTCTGGGAGAGAAGGGCAAGTTGGGCTATCTTCCTTTGAGAACCCCGACTTTGAAGTGTCTGTGACCAGGGACCAGGTTGGTCTCCATGAATGGGCACCCACTAGGATCCAAGCTGCTGGGGGAGCACTGGAGTGGTAGTGACAGAGCTAGGCATCTGTTGTGATGTTAAATCATCAGCCCAGGGGACTGGAGGGTTGCCATGGCAACCCAAATTTTAAAACATTTCATTGGTGTCTGTGGTGGCCCCCAACAAGGGACCTGTCTCTGATGGTCCCAACTCCTGGCAGGTTGGTCAGCCCCAGACCCTCCAGGTTGGGGCAACAGATCTGCATTCGGACCTCGCCTCTGCCACTCCTGGGTATTCCTGGGTGCCAACGACACTGAGCCTCACTTCACCACCTGTGACACAGAACTAATGAGTGTTGTGACTCAGCTGGAAGATGAGGGAGAAACCATGGGCAGCGGAAGGCCTGGCGCGGTGCCAGGTGTCACAGGTGCTGACACGCTGCCCACAGGGGCAGGTCCACTGTTCCTCCTCTTTCCCAGCTCCAAGGCCAGGCCTGGAGACTGCACTTCAACCAAACTCCAACCAGGAAGCGCCTGAGTGTTCTCCTGCTCTGGGATCCTCCACGCTACCACCCGTGGGGCGAGCACTAGAGCCTGTCCTACTGTGCCTCTTGGGGGGAAGGAAAGACGCCCCGGAGCGGCGGTGTGCCTGAAGAGCTTCTACTCCACCGAGCTCATGCACACACTGCATGCACATACGCAACACACAAGGGTGAAAGCGACCAGCTGGGCGTCGGCCAGTCACGGGTTCTGCTCCTTCTCAAACAGCTGCCCGCTTTCTCTTCCCCTAGGTTAGGTTAGGCAAACACTTCCCTTTATTTGCCAACTCTGCTTTTTCTCATTTCGGAAGATGAACAGAAAGTCTTGATCTTCCCACCAGCTTCCCTTCCAGGTGTGGGTGGTTGGAGGGCAACCTGAGGACACCCCGATCTTTCCCACCTCTCTCCCGCTCTGCAGGACCCTCCTTTCCAGACCCACAGGGTATCCCTCGGAGCAGACCTGCACAGACAGAATCTACTGGGAGAAAACAGTTCCCAGAATATCTGGTTCTGTCCCAGCACAAATACGCCCCGGGACTGCAGCAAAGGTGGCGTGAACAGGAGCAGAGGCCTTGCCATCTGCCCCTCAGCCTAGAGGGCAAGGCACGCCACCCGCAGCCTGGAGCAAGCTGTCCTTACGAGCTGGGGCCCAGGCCAACTGGACTCTGATCCATGAGGACCACGAGCAAAGGGGATCCAGACGCCTCAAATCCCCCAATAGGCAGTG